TTATATGACAATTTAACCATCGCAAGTAATTCAAATTTTTCTCTAAAATCACGGAGCCTATCCATCATTATATAAAGACTCTCGCTGTTTGCCAACAGCCAGTAGCAGTTCAATTCTTGGAAAATAAGGCACAGCGCCCTATATGACATTTCAATTCTTACTCATTCGAGTAATCATACTAATTCTTATTGATATCACTCATGAACATTACATCTTTCTACACTGATAAAACACTGTGGAACTATTCTTTATTTAGCTAAGGTCTCAATTAAACTTTGTAGTTAAATTACATTCAATTTTGTACTCAACATTAATTAGCTAAACTTACCCTTTTTATTACGGAAAAAGGGAAGCAACTTTCTTTATACTTATTGTTGAAATTTGTATACCATTGTTAATACAATATATTATTAATGTTCACTGAGCTTGATTGTTTTTCTCCCGTGTATTGTTGTTCATAAATTAATGTAGGGTGTTGTTTTACAAGAACACAGCCTTCTTTGATCTTGATTATATTCATGGTGACCCTAGCCAACAAATACTTTACACAACCACAACAATTCATACTACACCTCTACAATTGATGACCCCGACGTTCGTCGTAGGACCATAACCTCCACAATTGATGACCCCGACATTCGTCGTAGGACCATAACATCTACAGGACAAAGAAACCACTTGGCTAAAGTCTGTAACAAGAAAAGAAAGGAAGACACCCATAGACACACATCACGCAAAATAGACACTAATTTAAATCTGGATACCGGGAAACCCATGGAGACCAGCAGTACAGGCATCAGGACAAGAAATGTAGCAACCGTGTCTACTCACTTAATGCTTGTCAAGGTGACAATTTATACGAACAATTTGCAAAAATGTCATTTAATGCAATTAAGTGGCAAAATAAAAAAGACACAAGGACTAAGGTTTTGCAGAACTTGACACAAAACTTCCCAACCTAACAAGCACCCACAAACTAAAAGCCAAGGTTGACACAGGAGCTGAAAGCAATACCCCACCTCATTACATGTTTTCCGCAAGATGTTCTCTTGCAAATTCAGTGCCGCTGGACAGCCACTCCCTGGTGCAACATATAAAGAGTCAACTGTACTGACAGCATATAATGGATGCAGCATCCTTTATCATGGTTTTATTAGCATACATTGCACCTACAAAGTAGAGTGGAAAACACTCAAGTTCTTTGTGGTAACCTCAGAGGGACCTACAATAATAGGACTACTATCACTCAGAGACCTGAAACTCATTACGATGCATTGTGTCATCCAAGAGAACCAGGCACAGATCAACTCTGTGAAGGACCTGAGAAACATATACCCGGATCAGATAGGCAGTTTCACAGGGGAATACCATATTGTCCTAAAACTGGACAACCATCCTGTCATCCACACACCCAGGAAATGTTCCATCTATATGAGAGATGAGATTAAATCTGAGCTGGATGACATGATGAAAAAGGGAATCATTCACAGAGTAAACGAGCCTACAGAATGGCTTAACAGCCTAGTGTATATTCGCAAGAGTATTGGCAAACTTCGTCTGTACTTGGACCCCAAGGATCTAAACAGAGCCATCATGCGATATCAGCACAAGACTCCCACAATGGAGGAGCTCACGCACAAACTCTGTGATGCCAAGTACTTTTCCAAATTGGATGTGAAGAATGGATATTGGTCGATCAAGCTTGATCCTGAATCAAAGCTATTGACCACCTTCAACTCTCCTTATTGCTTCCAGAGAATGCCTTTTGGTCTGGTCATGTCTCAGGATGTATTCCAGCAGAAAATGGATATGATTCTGGAGGAATGCCCTGATACATTAGGACTAATAGACGATGTCATAGTTTATGGCAAAACCAAAGAAGAACATGACAGAAATCTGCACAACCTGATGAAAATAATGCAGGTTGAAGGGCTTGGGTTTAACAGCAAAAATGCGCAATAGACCAAAAGCATATACACTTCTTTTGGGTCATATATGACAAAAACAAAATATGCCCTGACCCCAAAAAGGGGGAGGAAATCAAAATGTTACCCAGCCCAAAAAGCATCGCAGACTTACAAAGAGTGCTAGGAATTATTACCTATATGGCACCCTTCATTCCATATCTCTCTGATCTCACATCACCAATGAGAGATCTACTAAAAAATGAATCAGAGTACAGGTAGACTGAAAGTCACCAGATGTCCTTGCAAAAAATCAAAAACCTGATTTGTAAAGAAATTCTGCTGACATACTATGATCCGGAAAAGAAACTGTGATCCAGGTAGATGTATCCAATAGAGGCCTAGGTGCAGCTTTGCTGAAGGAGAGAAAACCCATAGCATTTGTATCGAAATCGCTGACAGAAACAGAGCAACGATATTCTAATATTGAGCGGGAGCTCCTAGCTGTTGTGTTTGGGTGTGAGCCTTTCCAAACATAGATCTATGGTTGTGCCTTCCAAGTGGAAAGCGATAACAAGCCTCTAGAGATGATCAACCTAAAAAACCTGACTGCAGCCCCGCCTTGCCTCCAGCAAATGTTATTATGCCTACAAGGGTATGACATGACAATTGTCTATCGCCCAGGCAAAGAAATGGCAGATTGTTTTTCCAGGCTTCCAAACAAGAGAGTGAAAGAAGCAATCAATCTGAACATTAAAGTTGATTTTGTGCAATTTTCAGCGCAAAAATTAGCACAAATTCAACAGGCATCTTATGCTGACCCAACAATGTGCAAACTAAGGAACATGATCTTATAAGGTTGGCCCGACGCAATCAAAGAAGTTGACAAGGATATGCGACCATACTGGCCTTATTGGGATGAGTTATCTATAGAAAATGGGATCTTGCTCAAGGGTGAGTGAATCATTATCCCAAAACCCATGCAAGAAGAGATACTTCCCAAGATCCACTATGGTCATCAGGGAATCAAAAAGTGCAAGTTAAGAGCAAAATGTTGTGCGTTCTGGCACAACATCAATCAAGACATTGACATATTAATCCAGCGATGTGATGCGTGCCAGGAACACCAAAAGATGCAGAATGATGAGACCCTGATGCCACATAAGATCCCAGTAAAACCATGGCAAATAGTAGCCACTGACTTGTTCCACTTTGATGGATTAAATTGTATCCTCATTGTGGACTATTACTCAAAATACCACTTTATGCGAAGGATAAATGATTTCTCCAGCCAGGAAGTGATAGACACAACCAAGCAAGTGTTCGGTGAGCAAGAAGTCCCAGAGAGGGTGATCAGTGACAATGGTCCACATTACAACTCAGCTGCATTTAAGCAGTTTGCAAAAGAATGGGGATTTCATTGCACATCATCTTCGAAATATCCACAGTCCAATGGACTTGCAGAATGTTGCGTGCAGTTGATAAAATCTGTCATCAGAAAGGCTAAATCAAGCAGCCATGACATTGACATGGTACTGCTGTGCTTCTGGACAACTCCAATAGACCACACAATACCATCACAATGGGGACTGTTATTCAACAGAAAATTGGTTAGCAACATCCCAGTAAGATGTACTAATCACAATACACAAAAAAGCTGAAATAGCGGCCCGGTTATACAAGAGACATGCTGGGCAAAAAGCATACCATGATCAGCATGCAAAAAATCTCCCTGGCATCCAAATAGGACAACATGTTAAGATGCACAACAAGGACACAAATAAATGGAGCCTTGCAGTTGTCATGCAAACCTGCCTGGAACCAAGGTCCTACATAATTCAGACCCCATCTGGGTAGGTCTTCCACAGGAACCAAAACACCTGAGGGAAGACCCATCTAAAATCACAAGGTATCCACTGGAAATCATAACAGCCAGAGTGGAAACCAACCCACCTAAACGCACAAGGCATACACTAGGGATCACTACATCCAGAGTGAAAACCAACTCATCACCAAATAACCAAACAGAAATACTAAATACCCCATCCCAAACTTGCAATTACCATGCCAAACACATCCCTCATGAAACACATACATGCAATAACACTACAGAAAACAAAGCAACCAAATCTGGCCGAATAATAAGGCCACCTGAAAGATGCAGAGACTAAAAAAACACAAAACCTTTTTTTTAATGTTGTATTTCTTATAAAAATAGAAAATCTGTGTGAACACAACAAAACGTTTTTGTTTATTTTTTGTACTTATAAAAAAAAGAATCTATGTGAACACAACAGAACATTTACATTGTTTATTTCTTGCGTTTTATAGTATAAAATAAAATTTAAAAAAAGGAGAATTTAAAAACTGTATTAAATGACCAAGAGAAGGAAAACTTTTTTGTGCAAAAAAGGGATGTGATGATAATCCCTCAAGAATTATTCCCCTTGCATTAGAGTACAGCGTGAACAGAATAGAAGAGATGGTTGAACAAACCCTAAAACGTATTAAAAAGTGTTTCCTGTCTTCATTAAATTAAATACTACAGTTTCCTTTTTTTACCTAGCCACATTTACTACCTTTGATTCTGTTATAGGAAATTACAGAAAGATTTTTTTTAGGTAAATAATTTATGACTTAAACTTAAAAAAAAAATTCGTTCACTAATTTCTACTTTCTTAAGTGGTGTTGGATATATCAAAATAAAAATATGATTAATTTATTTTATAATCAACACCTGTAAAAGATCAAGAGAATGACAAAAAGAGCGTTTAAACCTCATAGCACCCAACGCCTATTGAATATTGATCCTTATTTTGATGTAAAATATTTACTTTAGTTTATTGTTTTAATTTAGTCATTCTTTTATTTATACTTTTTCCTGTTAAGATACATTACAAAAATTACATATTTCGCTATATCAGTATTGGGAAAAGATTAGTATTTGGTTGCAAGCGGAAGTGACGCATGTGATAATAACGTCACTTCCTGTTACTATCCTGACATTTTTTTTTTGTGTTTACAAGTGGTAAACAGTGACAGAGTGATTGTAATTTTTGATATTACAGCCTCCTTAGGAATTACAAAACAGCAAACATGAATCGTCTGTTTGGAAGAGCTAAACCAAAAGAACCACCCGCCAATCTAAATGATTGTATTAGTAATGTAAGTTGCTCATTATTAACTGATAAATCATGTGCCTCCACAAATAAAAACTAATTTTCAGTTTCGCTCAACAAATCTAAGACAAACAATTTTAAAAGACGTTTTTTGTCTATTTTGAAATGTTCACCTTTAAAAATAATAGTGATCACAGTAAGACACTGTCGGTGTTTGTTACTCATTCGCTATTAATTATACATTTTAATTAGAAATTTTAGTGCTGTTATCTGGTGTGTCTATTAAAAAAGATCCCACACCCCAAATACCGTAGAGATAGTCAATAGTAGACTACAGTCACTACAGTAATGTGAAATGAATCACTGGTCACTAATATATAGGTCTCAAATCAATTAATAAAGTTTATTATAAGTTTATTTATTTCCTATCACATTTATCATTAGAAATAAAAGTGCAATTTTTATATTTTTTGTTCCAAGTTTAAAAAATAATTTTTAAAATACTTTTTTTGTTCAAGGAAAGTTTGATTTTTAAATTTAACAAACGCAATTTAAAAAAATATTTTTACGTTTGGGTGGGAGTAAAAACTTAAAAAAAAATATGAGTCTTGTTTATTTTTTTAATTATTTACTTATTCAAAACAATTTTTAAAAAGTAAAAAAAACATTCAGTTGTGTTGAATTTTCTTTTCTGAGCTTGAAAATTAATCACGTTTATTATAATTAATTAAACTTTGTTGAATTCGTCTTTATAACTTAACGATCCCACCTTTATTTCTTAGTCTTTTCTTTTCTTTTTTGCGATAAGGAAGATTAAGTTATGTTTCAATACAGTAATCTCCCAATCTTGATTCGCATTCCAAATTGATTCGCATTCCAAATTGAAGAAGATATAATTCTTCTTCAAAAAGAACGATCGAATTCGAAATCGATGATTCATTGATTTCAATCCGTGTTGATTTGGTTATGAAATGAAAGATATTAAAATTTCTAAATCAGGTTTCTAGTTACTATTTTAATTTTAATTTCAAGTTCATAAAATAGAGACAAATAAATAAAAAGAATTCGATTTAAAATAAAGTACCTCCACTATTTCGGCATAAATTTTCGATACCTAAGTTTAAAATGATTTTTTTATAATGAAAAAACATTCTTGAAGATTTCATTTTAGCTTTAATTGAAAGTTTAATAACTAAATTTACGATTTCTATTAATTAAACAATTCTGTGTATTTCAGATTATATACATTTGATTGTCAAAATTTCAAATTTTTAAATTTTCTTAAAAACGGCCATTTTCTTAATTTTAAGAAATTTTAAACAAACACAAATTTATCGATTTTAAAATATTAAAAAAATTCTGACACGTTATTTTTAGTAAAATTAAAAAATTTAAAGTAAAAAGTAATCTGATTTCAAAGAAATTACTTAAATAAAAAATAATATAAATTAACGAGGTCCCGTTCATCTGTTCGATTCATTGATAATGGTTGATTTGAAGCTACTTTTAATAAATGACATAATTTTTAAGTCTGAGTTTTAAAAAATTATTATACCATAGCGATACAATACATAAAATAAAATTAGTAAATAGTAAATGAAAAAAGAAAAATAATTTAAAATTTAAAGTTTAAACTCATAAAATTGAGACGAAAATGTTTTGAAAAGGCCGTAAAATAAAATAGACTATTCTTAAAGGTTAATGAAGGAATGTATTAAGTAAAAAAATTTTATGATTTTTTAAAAAAAAAGTAGCGCAAAAATTTATTAAATCAATTTTATTCGTAAATTTTTTTTAGTTATTTCGAGGAAAAATCATTTATTTAAAACTTTTAAAAATAATTAAAAATTTTACAAAAAATTCTTTAAAAATTAATGATTATCAGAAAAAAAGACAATAATTATTTACAAAAGCAATATTCAGTTTTATTGGATTCATTTTTTTTCAATTCAGAGCAGATTTTCAGCTAAGTAGCTCAAATTTGTGAAAAAAAATTTAACAAACTACAAAAAAAAAAATTCAGGAACTATACAATCAATTAAGTAAATATATCTAACATATTTAAAAAATAAAATTTTCTTTTTCAAAAATAATTTCATTGATTTGGCAAAAATTTCATTAAGATTGGACAATTATTTTTTTTACAAGAAAATTTTTCAACGGTAAAAAACGCAAAAAAAAACTATGTTATTTTTCCTCGTTCAAACCAAAGTAAACAAAGAAACTTTAACCAAAATTTAGTCTTAGAAAATATTAAAAATTTCAAAAATAATTAAAAAATACTTTTTCTTTTCTCTAAATAATAACATAAGCATTTTGACGATAATACTTTTATTTTCTTTAAGTTTGTGGCATTTTTTCAAACTCGAAAAAAGTGGAAAAAAAAAAAATTTAAAAATTACAAAATCATTTATTTGTTTATTGATTACGAGAAAAGAAGAATAATACAAATAATTAACAAACTAAAAAAAATGACCCAAACAATCAAAAAGATTTTTTTTTCTTTCTTGGCAAAAAAGGTTCAAACCAAAGTAGTAAAAACTCTCTTTAGTCTTAGACTTAGTCTCTGAAGAAGGAAAACTCTAAAAAAAAAAAAAAAAAATAAAATTACAAAAACCGCTTTACTAAGAAGAAGACGTCCAATAAAAAAAGGACATGGTAAAAAGGAAAGTCGTCGCTGGAGATAAAAGAATCTTTAAAGATCGTGTAAAAATTTATTTACAAGTTAATAAGGTTTTGATGTGGGTGGGATTAAATAACCCATTCTGATTTTAAAACTTATTTTCTGCACTGAGAAAAGTAAAAAAAAATAATTTAATAAATAAATAAAAAATGTTTAAATTGTTTATATTTTTTTTAGTTTACTTGATATTTTTTAAATGCTTAATGAGACGGGCATGTCTTTTGAAGAAAAATAGTCGCGGAATTTAATTTTGTAAAGTTGGTAACAAATTAAAACTAGTTTTTACTACTCAAACCGTCAAAAAGTGATGGTATTATTTAAAAACTAACTTTTTGGTTAATTAAGTAATTTTGTTATTTACATTGTACTTGAAATAAATATAAAAACAATTTTATTATTGCTTTACTTTTTGAATCCCAGATTATTGAACTAAAATAAATAACATTTCATTTTTTATTTTTAATTTCTACGTCATTAAGAGTCTACTACATTTTTAACTCTTGAAAGAATCATATGTTGCTTGTTTTTTCTTCTTAAGAAAAGAGATTGATTAAAAAAAAATGTAGCCAACTATATTTTAAATATGCATAAAAATCCTACTCTAATGTAAAATTGCAAGATAAATGTTTTTCTCTTAGAAAATCCAAGTTAAGATAGGTAAAAACTAAAACCTCATGGAATGTAATATTTTGAAATCAACAGTGGGTAAACTAAACAGTTGCTATAAATTTGAAATTGTTTACCTCATTAATGTTTTAATTTAACACATAATAACTTAATTGACAAAAGTCGTTCTTTATTCACAAGATTTCAAATGACAAATATTTTGTTTTGACAATGGAATGACAATGATGACATTTGAAACAAGAAAAGCTTGCTTACAAGTGATTCCATGTACTCCTACCAAAGTTGGCTTTTGTCTAAATCAAAACAAAAAAAGTTTTAACATAACAGTTTATTATTATCACTTTTATATTTTCTTTTTATATTCATCAGACATGGCAATTTTTTTTTCACGTGTCCATAAAATGTCATAAGATTTTTTTATTTTTATTTTTTTTTTTTGTTACAAATAATCAGTGGGAACAGTGAGTCATTGAAAGAGTGCTAGTTTTCAGTCCACTGATAATGGGCTAGACACTCACCAAATACTGCAAATTCCCATTTGATCGTATATTTTTTTTTTTATGACTGTTAAATAATATATCAATTTTATTTTCAGATTGATTCCCGAGGAGAATCATTAGATAAAAAGATAAACCGGCTGGATATGGAATTGAAAAAATATAAAGATCAAATGAAAAAAATGAGGGAAGGTCCTTCCAAGGTAAAAAAAATTTATAAAATTTGTCTTTTTTTTCTTTTTTTTTTTTTTTTTTAAATCATTTCACCCCAAAGAAAGTAATAAAGCCACTAAGATGCAAGGAGTTACTGAGTCTGAGAGAATATGAGAAAAAAAACATTAAGGAGAAAGAACAATAAAAGAACAGGAATTAAGAAGACAGAAGATAACAATTAACATTGCATTTAAATCTTTGAAGATGAAAGTTAACTGGAAAGTAAGAATCTAGAAGAGAGTTTCACAAATAAGAAATGCAATAGAAGGAACTGTTAGCATAAAATATATGGTTACTTCTAGCCATTTCAACTGTAAAATGATGAGACCTTACTGCCAATCTAGTACTATGCTTAAATTCATAAAGTCTAGGTACCAAAGAGGAAAGTTCATTAGAACAATTACCATGAAAATAATTACACAAAAAGTACAGATTGGTGGGAAAGTAACAAGCTGAGATGCCAGGTCAGGGCCAATAACATTGCAGATTCTTCTTTGTATTTTATCAAGTATCTCTAAATACATAGCAGAAGCATCAGACCAGATTACAACATTCATCTTTCTTTGTACATTTGATGCTCTTAAAATGTTTTTAATTTATCCCATATCTCTAAAATGATATTTGTGGCATCTCAAAGCTCTAAAGGAATTGATTGACAGTGTTCATCTCTTTCTCATCTTATCTCCTTTCCAAGTGACAATACCAATGGAAGGAGAAATTCCTTAACTAAATTTTACTGATGGTTTAATTCAAACGAAATTTGAGGGTTTTTTTGGGGTTTTTTTACATTGTAGGGGTCATGTTAATATTAATTCTAGATACTTGAATCTTAGTAGCCTTCTTTGTTCCCTGCATTAATAAGAAATTGATTAGATGAAGGGTGGTGGAAATAAAAGTAAAAATTGTTCCATTTGTGCAAAGCCAAATTCTATTGTCTTCCTGATTCCAATTTGTCTCTCATAGCCAAGAATGTTCGAAGAAATAAATAACCGACAATTGGTTCTACAAATATTTTCATGGTAACTGTTCTGATGAGATTTTTTCCTTAGTGCCTCGACTGAATGAATTTAAGTGTGCTACTTGATTGGCAACTAAGTCTCACCATTTTACTGTTGAACTAGCAAGATACAACTGTCTGTTTTATTCTAATAGTTTATTTTCTCACTCTGTGGGGCTCACTTGCTTCTCTGCCACATACAATCTTCAAACATTTTCTTCTGTCATCCTGAACTCTGTTCTTTTATTGTTGTTTTTCTCACTTCTCCTCACTAATGTCTTCTCATTTTCTTTCACTCTGTGTAACTCTCTGCATCTTAGTGGCATTAGCATCTTGCTTGGGGTGAAATGATTAAAGAAGTTGTAATAACAACTGAAATCGTTTGCTGTCATGGGGAATGTATAACATGGAAAGAGTTCATAAGATGACATAAATCCTAGATGTGCAAATATTAAGATGAATATGTGTGCATATTAATAGCATATGATAGAAAAGACAGAGGGAAGCCATGTTACTGCAATGGAAAAGTAACTGGAGTTGAGATGCCAGATGAAAAATGATTTTCACTTGTATATTCCATTTCTAGTTTTTAAAAAGACTGCTGAGAACCTTTGCACACACCTTATAAATAATCAAAATTATAAATTTTTAATGAAGTCATGTGAGCAAATATTTGAATTTCTCTGCAATCTGCAAACTTTGTTGAAATTATTAGTTGAGAAGATTTTACTGAAAATTATGCTTCCTATGATGAGGCTCCTTCTGAAGTTGATAAGCTACAATTTGCTAAGACAATACTAGGCTAGTAGTTTAGTGAATTAGGATTTCATTTTTTATTCATGTTCTCTTCAGTTTTAAAAGAATCCTTGATTTTTTAATAACAATTATTGATACTTAACACAATATGAAAGTGAAATTGTCTCCCCTTTGTAGAGAAATTTACTTCAGCAATTAATTAATGACATTTTTTCATTGTTGTTCTTTATAAATGCTAAACGATTTAATTGATACTTTTAGTTTTCCTACCTCTTTTCTCATAATAAAGATGATTTCTAATCATGACTAAAATTACCTACCCTATTTCACTACTCATAATACCCTCTGATGCATTAGACAGCCCCACAAAAAAAAACTTTGAAGGGAGAAATCGGGGAAAAAAATGCATTTTCCTTGTATTTCATAGCCCTCCTCAATTTTACCTCCAAATAGCATATTTCTATATAAAAACCAGACTAATCATGAAAAATTCATCACAAACTAAGAATGAGCATTAATTTCAAATTAGATACATATAAATTTGGATACAGAAATAAGGTTAAGTTTGATTTATGTGTAGATAAAAAAATATGATAGTCTTGCTAAATCCTTATACTGATATTATACTTTGAAATCCTCATTATTGGTAATGTTCTTACAAAATTAGGTTTGATTTATGGTTTGGTTAAAACAAAAATGGAAGGAGGGAAAGGTTTTAAGCAGGTGTCATTGTAGTAGAAATTTCATTTCCTGTCAATATGCCAGTATCCCAACTGCATAAATAGCTTCTCTCAAAATGTTGTTAATTTAATTTTGAAATACTGGACTTGTTATACTTTCAAGGGTTCAGAATTGGATGTAACTGGGGAGCTGACACACACCCCACACTCCAAACTTACAATTCTCGTCACCAACTTTTGATTTATAGGACACAGGCTGGTTTTTGGAGATATTTTATAGGGAAAAAATGCATTTTATAAGCAACAAAATACAGTAATCTTAAATATTGTTTTGATGTTTCAAGTATATGTAAATCTTTCATTGATTTTCATGGTGCTTTTGTTTCAGAACATGGTCAAACAAAAAGCAATGCGGGTATTGAAGCAGAAAAAAATGTATGTATATTTTGTTAAACTTCTTAGAGAATGATAGAAGTTCTTAAAAGACTTCATTTGATAGTTCTTAAAAAGCAGATTTAATTCTTTCAGAGATAATTTTGTTTACAATATCAATACTTTCACAAATGATTATCTTGATGAAAATTAAGTCTTAAACTCTGCTGTTATTTGAGCATATTCTTGTTTGATGTAAAAATTATAAAAATGTCATGCATTAAATACAACTTATGCAAATTTTTCACTTGTTTTCACATAAGTACACCAATAAGTCTGCAGCTTAATGATGAAAAAATACATTAAATAATAGCAATTAAAAAGGACATATTAAACAATATTAAAACAATAGGAAAGAATAACCAAAAGTTTATATTACCATAAAGTGGTAATATTGAAATACAAAAGATGTGCACATTTTTTGTTTTTGCATTTTATTACCATTTTATGGTAATGTAAACCTTGTTTTGTTATTCTTTCCTGTCTGTTTTAATGGCTATTATTAAATTTTGTGCCCCTTTTGAAATATTTAAAAACACATTTATTTGGCACTGTAAATATGTTTTAATATAATCTTCTTATCCATGCTCTTAATTGATCACATATTCCGGTCTATATTTCTGAGATGAGGTATTGTAACTATTTATACTATTTTTGACTGTTTTCCTCATCTTTGGGACTCTTTGTTGTCATATTCATGATGTTTCGGCCATTGTATGTTCCTGCCTTCTTCAGGTGATATATGTTGGAATTTTGAATTGTACCCTTTATTTCATCCACTGCAATAGATTGTTCTAGTTCCATGAGTCATGCCTTTCCCGGATATCTCAGTTTCAGTTATTTCCCTTTTAGTAACTCAACTCTCAAAGATTTTGTTCACCTCTGTTGTGGTCAAGTCACTGAATTATTTCAACCAATGCTTTTATCCACTGTGCCATGTGTCCTTTGCGGACGTCAGTGAATTAATTTTTGGGACTTATAAACTTAATGTCTCCGTTACCATTTTTACCAGAGCTCATATTACAATTTTTGTTATTGTTGTTTTTCTCTAGCTCTTTGTATTACTGGTTCCCATATTGTATTCATGTCTATGCTTGGCTGACTTAGGAGATTTTTGTGACCTATCATAATGTATATCAGCTGAAGAAGGCCATACAGTGGCTGAAATGTGAATATGACAACAGTTTTTTTTTTTTTTTTTTTAACCAATAAAATGGGACGGTTTGCATTTTGACATGTCTCCATCCAGATCTGCTTTAACTACTAGACAGACATACTGTGTTCGCTCGGTCGACCTTGCTTTTGTGTACATCAATCACTCAATTATTTATTGTTGGCCAAGAAATTTTATATTATTGCTTTTTTCTTTGAATTTTTCAGTTTTGCTGTCAACCTTTACTTCTGCACCCATCTTGAAATGACTTTTTTCATTTTATTTATTTTTTTTTATCAACTCATTGAAGATAGTTGAATCTCCTATATAGACCAAAATTTAATTTCTAATTTTTGTATTCTCCTTCTCCATTTGTAGGTATGAACAACAAAGGGAACAGTTGGACAGTCAGTCTTTCAATTTGGAACAGCAAAACTTTGCCATACAATCATTGAAAGATACAAAGACAACTGTTAGTATAACAAAATTATCACAATTTTCACTTTTTTATTTTCTGTGTGTGTAGAACATGGAAATAGAGTGCAAATTTTTCTTTAACAAGATTTCTCAAACATTCAGAGTGGTAGAAGGAAATAAATATATTGTTTAATAAATACATCTAGCATCTACTCAAATACAAGTATCCACTAAAAATCATGCTTAAAGTGATAAAAATCTGTTGGATTAATAAAAAATCCATTCTAATATATATATATATATATATATATATGAATAAAAAGACTACAAAAACCTATTCTTAGCCAACATGTTTCATCCTCTGAGGGAATTATCAAGGCAGATGCCTTTTGCCTTGATAAAGTCATTCAGGACAAAACATGTGAGCTGAGAAAAGTTTTCCTCTTGTCTTTAATTCATTTTGTTCCTTCACAGATACACTCTATCTGAAAATAATTTACACATACACACATATATATGCCACACTAATTAAGAGAGAAAGTAAGTCACTTAGATGGAACATTCTTGAGAGTGCAGCTATTGAATCTTATCAAAATATAAATCTGCACCTTGGATGTTTTCAAATATCTCCTTTCCTGAAAGAATTACTCCTATTCCAAGCCAACATACTATAAATATGTTTAAAAATTAAAAGAAAACAGTTCAATTCATAAAAAAAAGAAATATAATACATAAATTTATCCCATACTAAAATAATTTAAATATTGCTTAAAAAATAATTCAGCAAGATCATTTACTTCCTTTTCATTAACACTTAGCATTCTCCATAATTTACCTAAACTTTTCAGTTAATCTCTTAAATTTAAAAATTCTTTAAACAACATTTTTACTTTTGCTCATAATTGTTGCAAAATAAGATCTTCACATTTGCCGTGATAAAGTCTGTGAGAGGATGAAACATGTTGGCTAAGATAAGTTTACCTTTTGTCTTCATTCATATTTTCTTTTTACAGATTTCAGTTAAATCTGATTTTTTTACACACACACACACACACACACACACACACACACACACACACACACACACATATATATATAAAACATATGGAAAAACAGTACTTAAATTTCACTGCTGTCCGCAACTAAAAGTTTCATGTTTACATAAAGGTGGTTAATGTTACTGTCACAATCCTCAGGCAGTAAAAAAGCAATATAGTACTTTCTAAAAAATGCTACACTAATTAAAAGAGAAAACAATTTACTAAGACCAAAATGTTTAGAAAGTGCTTTATTCAGTAAGTCATCCACAGTAAATTTGCATCCATGTTCTTGAAATGTTTCACCATTTTTGACAGATCTTCTGTTATCACAATGTGGGATATTTAATAACATAAATGATGGAAACAAAAAAAAAAGAATCTAAATAAAATTGGCTAGATTATAGACCCAAACACATAAATTTAAAAGAAAATTTTGCTTTATTTTGTGCACATGTGTAGTCACATCATCATAAACATAAATTTAATCCAATGAAGTCCTAAAGGATGAAATATTTCACAAAAAACGTTTCCCACATAGTCATGCCCAAATATATATATATATATGCACGCACACACAAACACACTCTCTGTTGATGTATGTGCAGTAAGGCCCCTTTCTTTTGTAACTGATTGACAAGTCACATCAAGGCCAAACAACCATTTTTGATGCTCAAAAGGGCCAGATACATTCTGGATAGATTATATATATATATATATATATATATATATATATATATATATATATATATATGACATAATGTTATATAATTTTGTATATTAACAAACAGTATTTAGAAAAAAATATGACAAACTGGAAAACTTCAACAAATCCCAGTCAGATGAAACCCATCACAAGAAATTTTCCAGTTTGTCATATATATATATATATATATATATATAAAACTTGCTATATTTATAAATGAAGGTTGCTCAATATTAGAAACAGAACATTCATAGATATAGGCAGGGTGTAGATAAGAATCAATACAATAAGGCAACTGTTAGTTTCAGGAAATATTCTGAAGATTGCATTGAGACTGAAACTGACAGTCAACATGCAGTGTTGATTCCTATGTCCATATTCACTCTCATATATATATATATATATATATATATATATATATATATATATATATATATAAAAGGGTGCGATAGATAAACTGTCGTCTAAATTATGCAAAATGAAAATAACACTGATATTTCATTTTAACATATATTTACAAAAAAATATCTTAAAATACTAAAGAGTAAATTTATTCAATAAAATCGCCATTGGTTTCAACGACAGCATCCATATGACTTCGGAATCTCCTGCAGCTCTTCTGGACAGTCTCCTTGTTTAAGTTGGTGAATGCTGCCATAATCCTTGCCTTCAGTTCATCTTTGGTATTACAAAGAATTTTATTGGTCTATTGCTCAAATGCACCCCACACATAATAATTAAGAGGGTTGCAGTCTGGGGAGTTAGGTGGCCAGATGTAAGGGGTGATGTGATCGCAGAAATTGTCTGACAGCCATGACTGGGTTCTCCTGTTTGTGTGGTATGGTGCAGAGTCCAGTTGCCAGATATAGGATCTTCCAGCAACCGCCGTATTGATCTAGGGCAGCACTACCTCCTCAAGGCACTTGATGTAGAGATCTCAGTGTTGAGTCTAAGACCCTCACCAACAAATTTGGGAGTTCTTTTCTTATCAGAATGATCAGAGTGAGTTTTCTGAGCTGCTGTACCTTCATAATCACCATTAGACTCATCCATAGGTAGATAGGTAAAATTTTTGGTTTTGGTTTTCTTCAGTTTGTTGTTTTTTATTACAACTTTCTCAGTTAAATATGCTGTGACTGTTAAAGTAATTAGTATGAAGTTAAGACAATAGAAGTTAATTCCAATAATAATTGAACTCAATGCCCATACTTCTAGAAATTACCTTTCACAGATGATACCTTAATCAATTTGGTAATAAAAACTCCTCACTAGTTAGGGCACAAAACTAGTCACATAAAGATGGACCCGTAGTACATGTTCCATTAGAAGCTGTTTCTTGATCCCTACTTGATGTCAAAATGGCTGGAAAGTATCTGACATAGTTATGATAAAAAGCCATAAGAGTAGCTAAAGTTTTGTAATAAAAACCTTTTCTATCAGAATTCAACTAATTTTTTAAAAGCTTTTTTTTTCATTTTAACTATTTGCTATCATTCAGAATTTATATATAAAACCTTTTTGACTAAAACTTGAACCATTGTTTTTTTATCTTTTTTGATAAAACACACATGTATATGACTGTGTATAGATATGAGATATTTAGAAGCATTCTAAATTATATTCAAAATTCATATCAAAATATATTCTATTGCTGATAAGTTTTCTGTATATTTTATATATATTTTAATGTATTTTTATATTGCATTATTTGTTTGCTTTTTCTCAATGGTGGCAAAATCAATTATATCATAATTTACATAAAAAAGTTTTTCTTTTTATAGCGATAATATATTATTTAAGGTACGACATGCCTCATTTGTTTTGTCAAAATGTCATAGAAATGTTTTTTTGTTTTTTTTTACTTCCCCACCCCCAACTTCCACACACATTATTTTACTAAGTGTAATCCCTGAATATCAAGCTACAATTACTGTCTTTTTGTGTAAGTTTTTATTGAAAATATTTCCTACTGATATTTTTTTCACTTATGATAGAAAAATTTAATTTGACTGAGAATAGGAATTTAAATTGTAAAATAAATATTAACTTTCTTTTTAAAATTCTTTGGATATTTTTCATTCTTTTAGAGAAATATTTTGTTTTGCTGTTTATTTTAAATCAATTTTAATGAAATAAAAGGTAAATTGGTATCCACAATGCAAGAGCTTTTCTTTGCAGCATTTTTTAAATCATTTTATTTATACATGTTTTAATCAAAATCTGAATTTGTTTGTAGGTGGATGCAATGAAAGGTGGAGTAAAGGAATTTAAAAAGGCTTATAAACATGTCAATATTGATGACATTGAGGTAGGTATAATATATATCAACAATTTATATAAAAACCAGTGTTGCTCATCAGATGATGGTATTTGTTATAGTACAAATATACTTTTACCATAATAGATAATATCAGATTTTTGCTCATACTTCAGCTGTTACCTGAGACAATTGTAAATTTAAGTGGGTTTTCATCATATATAAGTAAGGAAAGCAGACTCAATACCAACTTGACTTTTGAATTGAGTTGACAGATAAAACATCCACTGTAAACAAACATTTTTTTTATTATACTTAAATAAAAAGTAACATTTTTCAAAATCCAGTCAAGTCATCATTAACTAATATTCATCAAATTTCATATTGCTATTATGGCTACTTTATTTTTTTAAAATATTTTTAATTTCTGAGTTAAAATTTTTCTGTTGGTAGGCATCAATCCTGGCATTATTGAAGTTAAATTTGGATGACAGGAAATTTGCATTAAATATAAAAAAGTAATTTTTATTTATTTATGACTAATTTTATTCTATTTTCTTTAAAATTTTAATTATTATTCAGACAGAAGAAACCCCTTATTGCAGTGTTTCTCAAGTTATTTTTAATTTAAATCACACTTATAAAATAACTAAAACTGGGGCACACTTTAAATTTTAATAAGGAAAAAATTAGTGATGAAATTTGAAGATATGAAATTTTCGTTTAGCATTCCCAAAGATTAGAGGTACATTTAAGGGGATTTAGGAAGAATCTGCTATTTTAATGAGAGAGGCTGATAATGACTGATTTAAATCCCTTGAAGAAGGTAAAAAAGAAAGGATTATCTACTTAAAGATTAAGGAATTTAGCATCCAGTTTAAAATATCAAATGACAAAGACTTGACTTAAAAATGGAAGCCATGTGCTTGGTGTCTAAAACTTTTTAAAAAGGAAGATTTTTTTTTTTTAAATATAAAAATAATTGATAAATTATTCTTAACTTAGGGTGCCCCATGCAACTATTCAGAGTGGATTAGTTCACCCAGACACACCGGTTGAAAAACATTGCCTTATTGATTTACATTTGCATATCACTTTTTTTTTTTTTTTTTTTTTTTTTTTGAAAACTATACACAAGCACTATAGTACGCAAATTACTTAGGTGAAGTATTGTCAATCAGTATTTTTTTTTTTTTTTTTTTACAACTCTCAAATACTTATTCTATGACCTGGTAAGCAATGTAAATTATCTTCTGGTAAGACTTGAATCTGTATCCCTTATCCTTTGGAGCCTTTGTTTCCATGACAACTGCTTTATCAATTATGTTGTAAATGTTAATCACCAGCAGTCATCCTGATTGAGACAGATTGTTCACACCTTACTTCGCATATCTTTATTTACATTATCTGACTCTTATTAGATGCCATCATATACATACTTTTTTCTTTTCCCTAGATATTACTCATATGCAAATAAATGATATCAGGAATATTAATAGTTATTTCCCTTTCAATTTTTTTCTTTCTTTTCTAAGTTGTGCATGAATGCTGACTCCACAATATAAAATAAAAAAAAAAACAAAAAACAAACCTCCTTCTAAACATAATGTTCAAACTGTTCCTCATTATACAAGTCAGATTTTATTCATAGAGTTAACATAAAGTCTAATATTCATCTTGCTACTTGTATGTGTCAATATTTGAATGTCTAAGATTTGTCATTTTAGGAACAGTTACCATGCTATGCCATTCACCATGACACAAAAAAATTCAGTTATTGTTAAAAAAAAAAAATGATTATTAATTCTGGTGAATGATGATTCACCTGAAATTTTTTTTTTTTTTACATTCTTTAACTTACTGTAACCTCTGGCTACAATGCACTATTTTGGCTATTGAAAGGTTGCAGGTTGTATATAGACACACAAAATTCAACTTCAGTAAGACACAAAGTGTTACTGGGCGTGGAAGAATTAGAAAACAGAAAAATTAATGAGAACAATAGAAGAGTCATCAAGAAGACTGTAGATAACAATTGACATTGCATTTAAATTTTTGAAGATCAAAATTGGCTGGAAAGCAAGAAGCTGGGAGAGAGTTCCACAAGTGAGAAGTGCGAGAAAAGAAACTTAGCATGGAACCTACAGTTACATTTATCCATTTTAACTGTAAAATGATGAGACCTTTATTTTATTTCCAGGATTTACAAGACCAATTAGAAGACTTGACGGAACAAGCAAATGAAGTCCAAGAGATTATGGGCCGCAGTTATGGTATGCCTGAAATTGATGATTCAGAATTAGAAGCTGAACTTGATGCTCTGGGAGATGAAATTGGCCTTGATGAAGACACATCTTACCTGGATGATGCTGTATCTACTCCTAGTGTTCCTACTAGTGAACCAGGTGCTGATAGTATGAAGGTATTTATTCGCTTTTATACTAATTCATCTGTTCTTCTTACAACTTCAAATCTACTGTCCTTTGCTGGTATTAGATTTTTTTTCTGAAGGGGCGTTAACTCACTTCACTCAACAAGCATTTGTTAAATAATAGTTTAACAGACTATTATTTTTTTGGAGGAAGTTTATTGCTGCTCCGACTTCCTGAGGTTGACTAATGGAGTCAGATACAAACCAAAATATGGGAAGTCGATTTTAATTGGCCAAGCCAGCATGGGAGTTATAGGCATAGAGAAAGGGTTTTCAGTGAGTTGTTTCTGAACTGTCAAGCAGTGTTGATGTGTTCACTTTCGTGTCTGGAATGGCTTTCTCATTTAGGGGAAGCAACCCCACTGGATAGTTAGAAAATGTAAATGTTGATGTGATTAATAAAATAGTTAAGTTTAAAATTCTATGTGTTGAAGTTCTTTCATCTCTGGACTCAAAACAACCAGCAATCACTTGCCATAAGAGAAGAATGTCACTTTATTATGAAATTGACACTGTCACTCAAGAGCTCCCCTGCATGAGGGGGGACTATACAACACATTAAAATTACTCCTAATTATTACTTGATCTTATTACTGATATATAACTGAACTATTTCCATGGTTTTGAATTATTGACTTCAACTTTGAAGTTTAAAGCTCAATGAATTAAATGAAATAGGATGTTCATCGTGTTCACTTTTGCACAAATATCTTTGGGAAGGGCTAGAATCTGTCTCCCATCTATGGGTTAAAATCTAGTAGGACAGACTGGGCTCTTTAGTTGTGGTTGGCAACTAGCCTAGGAGAAGGAAAAGTCTGAATTCAAAACTATATGTAACCCTGGCAAAGCACACGCTTGGACAGGATTATAGAGGTCATAATAACTTTGCGATCTTGACTCTGCTCAATGAGTTAGGTAGGAATTTTTTTGTTTTAAAAGTGTATAGTTGAAAAGCATTTGCATAATCTAAATCTGTAGATATTATTTGACTTCGTGTTGAAACACCGGTTCTCATCTAATCACCGAAATTAAGCAACATCAAACCTGGTCAGTACTTAGATGGGTGACAACTTGAGAATAACAGGTACTTTGTTCTCAGAGAGACTTTTATATCACTAAGGAATACACAAAACTGTATACACATATTTACACATGTTCCACATGGAGAATAATATATTGCATATATCTACACAGCAAAGCATAGTGTAAGGAGAGACAAAAGGGAAGTGTCTGGAGAAGCTACTTTTTAGGATTCCAGATTCAAGCAGATTGAATTCATCTATGTCCCAGGTCAGGACATATTCCATGAACGGGGAAACAGTGAGTCTTGGGTTTTCTCAAATTGAGGACTGTGAGCTGGAGTTTCATTCTATATATGGGAAAGATATATTCTCAAAGGGAAATGGCACCCTATGGACTTGTAACCTGCAGGGGTGAAGCAGATTTAGTCTCAGCCTGGGTTCCTCAGCCTAGGCTAAAAAGAAAGCAACTTTTCAGTTTTCTTCTGTAAAACAAACTGAATTTGACCACTGCTTTCATCACTGTATGGAGTGACATCACTAAGCAATCCATCACATGGTCCATGTGACTTATTTCCACTAAAGGGAGATATTCATCGCCTTCTGTATCCCTGCAGCTCCTTCAAAGATTCTAATGACCATTTGAGGAATATCATCCCAGGAAAATATACATCCATTTGCAAGAGAGATTTCTCCCAATATTCACTAACATGATTCTCCTTGAACATATCTGAGTGATCTTTGAAGTAAAGGAAAATGTCAAGAAAACCTTCTCGAAAAGGTTTTTATACTTAGTAGCCTGGCTGGATAGCCCACAAAAGAAGATAGCAGATATGATAAACTGAATGCTTTCAAGAATAAAATCTTTAATATTGGCTAAATTTTATTCCTGAACCATTTAATGAAGATTTTGTTTGAAAATTACTTATTATTTTTACTATTTACTTTTTTAGTATCTTTCCAATATTTTACTTATTTCTATAAATACTTGTAACTTTGTGCAATTCTTTCCAAACAAAACCAAAATCTTTTTGCTTTTCAGTCTTTGTTTATTTACTCTTATTTCTATTTCCAGGACAGTGTGCCTGTCGATGAATTTGGATTGCCTCAGATACAATCAGCAAAGTAAAATTGCTTCGTGCTTTATTTTTCTCCATTCTATAGAATGGATATGAAAACAATGTCAACATATGCATGCACCTTTTTTTTTCCTACCTATACATCTCTTTCACACACACACACACACACACACACTCAATGTTGATGTATCATTTGGAGAGAGATGAAGAAAATAACAGGATTCATTTTCTTGCTACAGGGGAAATGAACCAATTCTCCCTGAATTTATTATTCAATTATGAATGGACATTTTTAAAGTATAAAGCTTTGCTCCTTCTCTCTGATATTCAACCATTTGACCCAAAAGACTATTTTACAAAGAGCATTTGAATTAATATTAATAAAAAAACACATGCAAATTAACTGCAAATTTTCAATAAGCTGTCACTTATTTATATAAATATTCACTGAAAAAAATTGACAAATTAAAAATGTGTGTACATTTAAGCCATTATATTTCAGTAAATATCTTCATTTTACCTTGGCCAATTATTAGAATTCCATCTTCTAAAACGGATTTTTTATTTGGAAACTCAAGCAAAATGATAATAGGTTGTTCAAAGCTTACATAACTCAAATCATGTGGTATTTCCCTGTTTCATAAGTTGTTATTGTTTAAAACTTGGACTGGAGACATGAATATATGTGGAAATGGACAGATCCCATTTCTTTTATTCTTTTCATGTAAACATCATAAAATTAATAAATTACTTGTTTAATAACATCTTTGTTAAAAATTTTGTGGGAGTCAAGGGGTCGGGGGAAATGTTACAAATACTATTACCTTTTATATATGTAATAAATTAAAATAAACAGAAAAAAAATGACTTCTTTTTTTTCCTCACAACTAGATACAAATACTTTGGATAAATGCAATAAAAACCATGATAGTTTTTGGATTTATTTACTACTTGGCTCGACTCAAGTAGGTTATTGCTAGCATGATCAAAGGATACTTATATGCAGTAATATAACATGATCAAAGGAAGACACATGGCTAAGTACTTATGTGATGTGGGTTTGGCCAAAGAACACCTCAAAAGCAACAAGAAAGCAAGATAAACCTGAACACAAATGCTTTCTGTGCAATCAAAACTGGTTAGACAATGAGGATTACTTCCCCTTTCTTTTATATGTATATATAAATATAAAAGTGAACATTTTAGTGAAAAGATGGAGTTGGGGGGGGCTACTGCATGGCTAACAGTCTGGTGCACCGAATAAACAGGAATCAGCAGTCTAAATGCTTCATTTGAAACATCATCCAAAACACAACTCTATTCCAAGACTGACAGATGCCTAACCCTAAAGTGTATTTATCAATCGCATTTAAATATGACTCAATGACTTAGAACAGTATTAATTTCTATCTTTATGTTCACACAATACTTTAGCTAATATGGCTTATGGTCACATCACATTGAAACAGTGATTCCTGTACAATCACTGAAGTTAAGCAATGTAAAGTCTGGTCAGTACCTAGATGGGTGACCCTTGGAAATACCAGGTGCTTGGATGTACATGTGATGTAAAGCATAATGGTTCAGAATTGTTAATTGGGGAGCCAAGTTCCAATTCCTGTTGTGTCTGTTATATTCACTTACATGCAAATACCCTTGGGAAAGGGGTATGAATCCACCTCTTCTCCCGTCAGATATGGGTTAATTAGTCAGACTTGTATCACTAAATCATTATTATCTCAAAAAAAAGTTTCTTACAATATAAAAATATTTTCTAGTTTTAAATAATCTACAAAGGGTTGATAAACTGTGAAAATGAATTGGTAAATTTGTCCATTGTTTTTCGGTTGTTCTTTTTGTTTGCCTCTTTTCTGCTGTTTACGTTTGGGACAAGGTAAAAAAAAAAAAAAATGTGGTACACTCGGTGAGGATCAAGCTCACAACTCAGTAGTAATATTAATGGTCAACCAAACTAGCTCACTAACCGTTATTTCATATTTGTTATTGGCTGCTTTTGGTCAAATCACTGGCTCTCCTTTGATTTTGGAAGTTAAGCAGTGTTGAGCTTGGTCAATATTTAGATAGGGAACTGCTTGGGAAGCAACCTCCTACAATCCAAAATATATTTTGGCTTTAACCTAATGAAGACTTAATAAAAACAAATCAGTCAATCAAACTGTTGTTGGCTACTGACAACAGCATTTTGTTGTTTTTTCAGTGTCAGCAATATATGGAAGGCATATAATGCAATAATCTGTTTAATAAGCAGGTTAAAAAGGTTTTCAACCTTATTTGTTGCAATCCATTATGATCCTCATCTGTATTTTGTTCAACACAACTTTTCAGCACTGTGTTTCTTTTTACATGTTTTGTATTTATCAATGGCAATACTTTTTATTTTAAATGCACACTTTTTATAGTTAACTAAATTGTCACTCATGAACGAATTTATGATTTTAAGGAGTTGATGTTGAGACATATGCTTAGGAAGATAAAACAATATAAGATCTCAGGTATGGATGTCTTGCATGGCACCCAACCCATGCAGAAATGTCAGAACAATCAACTGCATACAAGTGCTTTCTCAGATAATTGATCAAAAATGGCTTTGAGGGAATGAAGCCTGTAGGCCTTAAAGGAGACCATCCTTCTTCAAACATTGTGGACTGGAACTACAGAATCGCAAAGAATATCAACTAACAGAAACCAAAATCATCTGACGGTTTTAAACAGCAGTAACAACTAAAATGGATAGCACATGTAACTCCAAAAGAGAATGACGACATAATCAAGATCTTGACATTCTACACAACTTCAAACAAAAGGTTTGGAAGAAAACTCCCATTAATACTAGAAAGAGTGATAACTGGATTTGAGAAATCTGTTTTCCTGAAAAATTGTTTTAATAAAAAGATTTTACAAATTTCAACTGACAGTATCACTGGGGTGTTTAGTCAATAAATACTGAGTGTTTTCTTATAAGGAAACAGATAATATTACCATTATAGTAATAAAAAAAAAAGATTTATTTTAACTGGTAAATATTAATTGCTGAAATTTGTCGAGTTTTATGCCCAAAAAGTGCTAAAAATTAGAATATAATGTAAATATGTGGGGTCCCTGTCAAGGTTGATAATGGATGTAACAACTTACAATGGGATACTGAAACATTAGTCAATCTAAGAGACCCTTTAAAAAAAATGTTATTGACCAGCTTTTGTGAAGTGGATCATATAGTTAATACCACTTGAATTATGTTTATGGGAGAATGGTTCAACCAGATGATCACAATCTGCTGTCAATTATTGTGACATGCTAGAGAAAGGATATTTCTTTGACAAGATATCTGGTGATAATAATAGTAAGGGTGTGGAAATCAATCAATAAAGACTCACAATTGGAACGAAATGTACAGTGATTGTCTCCCTTTATCAGCTACTTGCATTAGTATCAATTCTGGAAAAATACAGACATTTAAAAGAATTGGCGCATATGCTAGGCTATAAGGAGTTTCTCAGTAAATCTAGCATAGAATAAATGCATGTGCTGAGGAAGAGAATTAACAGTTTGTAGTACTGCTGCCACCTTACTGTAAATTCTCTCCTAAGAAGAAAAAAAGCTTCAGTGAATATAATCAAGTGTGACAAGTGGTTGCAGCAAGATTAGGTTTAAGGCTCCAATCTCCATCTCAAGACTGTGCCACAGGGTAATAGATTAGTTTGTAAATTTGATTATAGTGAGTTCAAACCTGGGATGAGTAGTACAGACTTAGTGAAAACAGTGAGCAATAACTGAGAAGGAATAAATATCTACATGTGGCTAATAAGTTTGACTTAATAATGGTTTGAAAGTATAATAATAATGATGATAGCAATTCATATATTACAACAAGAAGTCATAAAATGTTTTTAAGTAAAAAAGATAAAAGTTGCAAAATTTCTGTTTTGAATTTTTCATATGAGAAGTTATTTACATTTGGATTAATGTCCTTATCTTTGTTGTTATAATCATGACATTCTTGTTATTGAGCCCTCTAACTTTCATCCGGCATTTATTGATTGATTTATTTTCAACAGCTTATTAGCCCTTTTAAAGCCAGAAAATATTTTTACAGTTTTTATATATATATATATATATATATATATATATATATATATATGAAGAAATATTGTTTTTAGGTGTGCTATATTTATGGTATAAAGTTCTCAAAATCAGAGATAGAGCATATGTAAATATAAAAGTGAACATTGAAGTCAACACTCAAAGGTGACGCACTGTTTCATGCAAGATGCAATCATCAGGCCACATGTGTTGGTTTTTTTCTTGACTATTTATGTATATGGGTCAGTGGTGCATTGTGGGTAGTCCATTCTAACAGTTATTTTGGTAGGAGTGGTTTATTTATTTATTTGGATTAATTTATTTTACTTGGTTTTTATTTTATATATTTATTTATTCTTTTCAGTTTTCAATGTTTTAGTAATGTAGTAAAAAAATTTTTGAGATTAGTTCAGATTATTTAGTAGTTTCTTTTGGTCTGGGAAGGTAAAACTATTATTTCATCTTATTTTTGGATTGATTGTTGTAGTCTATTCTAACTTATTTTGGCATGAGTGGTTTATTAATTATTTATTTGGATTGATTATTTTTACTTGTTTTTTTATTTTTTATTCTTTTCAGTCTAGTCTAATGGTTATTTTGTTGTGAGCGGTTTGTTAATTTGTTTATTTATTTGGATTAATTTATTTTACTTTTTTTTTTATTTATCTTTATTTTATATATTTTTATTTATTCTTTTCAGTTTTCAATTTTTAAGTAATGTAGTAAAAAATTTTTAGATGAGTTCTGATCATTTATATAGTAGTTTGTTAAGTTTTACTAATTAGCCCATAGCTAGTGAGGAGAAGTGGATTCATACCTTTTCCAAAGGATATTTGCACATAAGTGAATACAACAAACCCAACTGGAATTGGAACTTGACTCTCTGATTAACAATTCCAAGCCATTATCTATTATACTACCTGCACATTCAAGCTTATGGCACCTGGTA